ATAATGAATAATTATTCAATGTCAGTTCTTTACAAAATCCAAGTTGGCCGCGAAACCACGTGATTAATGGAAACAATCTTTCTGAAAAAATTGTGTTTCAAGTGCCATGTCGAATAAACCAATGGTTATGAAATACTTGATACATGACTAGTTAACGAAAATTAAATATGGCGCCCAATGTCACAGGACTATGGCCGCCATATTTAATTCTCGCTATTTTTGTGTGTGAGAATATTACTAATCATATTCCATAGAAGCTACAGCAACAAATTTGGAAGTCCCAGACCTTCAGAGTTTTGAATTGAGCAATACTGAGTTTTAGAAAATCCGAAATGGCGGCCGAACCACGTTACTAATCAAAAATCTTGGTGCCACTCCAGTCTAATTGAGCAAGATATATGTTTAAACCATTACATTATATCTGACGACATTCAGTTTTCCAGATAATTTGTCAAATCAGATTGAACAACTTATTTATGTGCATAAAATATATTGTCGCGAAGCAGCAGCTGATCCATGATAATAATTTATTATCGCAATCATCTTGAAAACAAAGTGTCCTTCGAGCGAATAAATCACGCATCGTCATTATACGTGTCGTTGTCCACTGTATTGTATGTAGTATTTTGCGGAGAATAATATAAATATTTCAAATCAATACGTATATACGTATGGCACGTAATCGAAATGTCTTGGTAATTGTGTCGAGTGCAAACTTGCCAATAAAGCACACTCCGTCAGCAATCAGAGAATTCTCGCGCCTTTTAGCGGGTAGTATACAATTCTTCGATAAATTGTGACCATTTCGTAATACCCACCACTACATGTTACCTATCACGGTGTACTGCCGAAGGGCTTTATTTAAATCTAACAATTGTTGCAACCATCATATTATATATACATTGAGCGCTATCAGGTTATATTTATAATTTAAGTGAAAAATATAAATATTCTCGATTTTCTTTATGATATTGTATTACCCTGCGGATTGGATGCACTATCCCATAATATGTACCCATTGAACTATAGCTCTTCTGCCAGTCCTCATTAATCGCACCACCATGGTATTATGACGTGATCCGGGATATGGCATACCCAAAGGCAAATGATTCTAATCCATGTACACTATCTCTATTTTTCTGTGACAACAAACATAATCTACGACCAAGACACGGTTTGTGGATAAAAAACGAGACGAAAAAATTAAAATTATAACGTCTACTGTACTACTCTACTTAACTAATGATGATCTATTATCGTTTTTGTTTGTTTGTTTGTAGTTTGTTCACATTCTCCCTTTCTGGTTTAGCATCTGTCATTAATTATTTGCATAATGTCAGATATTAGACTATCAATTCACCGTTATTGACATGGTTTTATTTCATTTTACCAATTTATGTATATATTTTTTTATTATCATCAGCCGATTCTCTATTTTATGACTCGAGAAAAATATCATTCGAGAGATGTTCATATTTGCGACAACTACATCCTAACACAACAGTTATTGTAGATATTAGACTCGCATTTAGCATCTTTATTTGTCACCGCTCAGGATGAAATGCTATGTTCTGATTTGATTCAAGAAGAGCTAAATTACGTTCAATATTAAAAACGCAGCAATAAATAATTGTTTTTTGTTCTCTGTACCACAGAAAAAAAACACTCATGTCTGGCGTTATTAGCGTATGCGGAGAATATCAACGTTTTAACCTAGCGTAAACAAGATCCATATTTTACTACTTCTACGCACACCTAAGTGTGCCTGCTACGCATCAATAGATCTGAAATATTACACCTGATATGTCAGCTCATTAAAACACGTGGTCCATGAAATGACGCCAGTTTATAAACCCTTATTGAGAAAACATTATTATATGAGTTGATTTGCCCCGACGGGTGCCCTCATTATTTCTAACAGCGTGATTGTATTTAATCTGTTTTATTTTTCGATGATATTTAGTTAACTATTTTCACGAGTTGTTGGAGAGTTTAATTTAAACATTCTAACAGTTTTCTCGCAAAGTGATCGTGTGCATCGCCTTGAGCTATTATCAAACATGACTAAGAGTTTTTGAAACTTTTCACGAAAGTGTCCTACATACGTTGGCTGGAATGTTCTAGGATTACATTCTTCGACCGAATGCCATCTCGTCATTTATAGACGTCTTGTACGTCCAATATACACATCCAAATCATTACAAAACATGTGTCAAATTGTTTGTCAAATTGTCATTATCTACAAAGTAAGGTGTTCTATTTTATTCAAAACCTAATTTGCCTTTAGAGTATAGATTTTAAGTTTTCCCAATTTCCAATGTTGCTCAAAACTTGATGAATTCAATATATATATACAACCTTCTAGTTTGAAGAGCACTTAGCAAATTCAGACACTCACTCTGTGAACCTCAATCGCATCCATTGGCGAACTCAAGCATTTGAAGCACATCAACAGCCGTTTGGATGGACGGTACTTCTAAATCAGGTGACAACCACCATTAACAAACTCGTCATATGTATCTTTCATTCAAATTGTTTGTAAATAACAAATATACTTATAGGCTCTTCATAAGTTACAACCGAGTACAACGATCAAATGAACCATTTAGCTGATTAAAACTCTACTTGGAAATTTACAACCTTATTGCAACATTCGAAGTTTGCTTGTTAATAACAATGTATTGCCAAAGAAGAATATTTTGACCTTTTCTCTTAAGATTAGAGCGAACCTTTCATGGTGATGTTTATCAAATGAAATGCCAACGTGTTATCGTGGCATTTCTCGCTTAATCAACGTTTGCGTGAATGAAAATGACTCGACCTATGCGGATCACTTCTTTCCTGACGAACTACGACAATATAGCGTGTGCACTTAAACTGCGTAATGTTTTATGTATGACAAATTTGATGGAAATATTTTAAAAAATAGCAATTTTCTATGGAATCGTAAAATTAATAGATAAATTATTGATGTGAATCAAAACGGTTACAAATCATTCTGTTATGCAGGTTTGATCAACAAAAATGAGCATTTTAAAAATTGTCACCAAGCAGTGGTGAATTCTTATCTCCATTAAAGCAAAGTTGCATTTTTAAACATTTATGTTAAAAATGCCTATTAACTACATAAAGTAAACACAAATCTAATGTACATGTGTCATGACCTCTATATATAATCTCTTAGATGTTATGGTCTCTGCATTTATGCCCCGAATATGTCAGGGACCACTACAATTTCAGAACACAAGATGCCCCTACCACAATATGTATACCCGAATACGTCAGAATATTCAATTGCCTAAAATGTCAGGGTCACTTTGTTTTTGCCCCTCTCTAGATGTCAGGGTCACCTTGTATATGCCCCAGATGTGAGAGTCACTTTGTTTATGCCCCAAGATGCCAGTGTCTCTTTGTTTATGCCCCCATGTGAGGGTCATTTTGTTTTTGCTCCAAGATGTCCAGGTCACTGTGTCTTTGTCAGGGTCATTTTGTTCCTACCACCAAATGTCAGGGTCACTGTGTGCATGGAGACCCCAGATGTCAGGATCAATGTTAATATCCCCCGTGTCATGCAGTGTATATTTTGCCCTCATTTGCCACATGGAAGGATTTCATGTTGTATTGTTCAATATTACCACTATGCCGACAGATATAAACTACTGTAAAATACTGTATATTCCCTTGGAATTGATTTTCGCTATTTTCGCTGAAAGATTCAGTGAAAATAAAATCCATCGAATAGACCTTTTTCCTATATTTTAAATTCAACTCATCAAAAATCAGTGAATATAAATGTTATACAAAACTCTCAAAAAGTCTATTCAGCAAAAATTAATCCTAGCTAAAATAAAGTATTTTTCAGTAAACACTTGTATACTCTTATTACATACACTTGCATCAATAATTACTGTGTAATATGTGTTAACGATAGTCATTTACCAAATTTACCCCACTTCCAATCATCCTGATGTAGTTTAAATTGTGTTTGTTCTGACACATTGAATAGAGCACTTTGTCCCCAATTATTTGTATGCTCAGTGCTTGTGTAGAAAAAACAGTACGTGAAACTTCACGAATTGAGCTCACAAATTTACATTGAATACATGTCTAATACCCGCCCCATATACCTCAAAAATATGATACTATACCCGTTATCACAAAACAGCCTCAAGTACATCACTATCAATTGACATATATCAAATATTGGGGCTAGGGTTATATCATTATATACCCATCGATGTAATGTTTTGAGACAATGCCTATTCAGAATTCTTTATATAATACAATTATTGAGAATATTGAAAATACATACTTAGCAACGTGAGAAACAAAATCATTTTTGTTCGCTAATGTGTTATATACCGTTCACGTGGCTCGGATACCGCATTGCGCATATAAAAATAAGTGTGACTTAAATATGACAATTACCATGAATAAATTCATAATATTATGAAATATGCATGTTGTAGATTAGTGTACTTGTAGTACTATTCACCGGACGACTGATCACGTGCACACTTCTGACATAAAGACTTTATTTTACTAATCATGTTTACTTATTACCATATTCATGTCATTAGAATACAGATAATTACAGCAAATATAGCGGAAATAATAATAATAACTAATTTATAAAGCGCCAGTATTCAAAACAAGGTAATGTTAAATGGCGCCGTACATAGAGATGACTATTTGTTAAAGGCTTTCCTAAAAAAGATGGGTCTTAATTTGAGTCTTGAAACTGTTCAATGTTGGTGACTTGCGTAGTGGCAATGTGTTCCAAAGCCGTGGTGCAGCACATGAGAAAGAGCGTTTGCCGAATGATTCTAACTTATTCTGAGTTTCACCAGTAGCCAATGCAAATCTTGTAGAATCGGTGTCACAATTCTTGCTGATGTGTTCTGGGCATATTGTAGTGACTTTGTAGTTTTCTCTGGTAGTCCAAATAGAAGTTTTGAAGATATTAATGCATGAATAATTATTGTACACGTATGTTGCAGATATGCGCTTCTTGAAGCAATTATGATGATCAAAGATGACCCAAATGTTTCTTGTCTCAGTTGGATAACGCTTGAACGAATGAGAATATTCGGAATGCGGTTAAACGGCGATCTAATTAGAAGAGCCTTAGTTTTATCATCATTAAACTATACTTTATTACATGACATTCATGATTTAATGTCACAAGCTGTACTTTCAATTATGCTAACTGAAGACGGTGTATCAGAGTATGAGAAGGCGAGGTAGAGTTGGTGTTCATCAGCACTATGACGACGAATAAGTTGACCTAGTGGTGATATATAAATGGAGAATTCTAGAGGTTTAGAACAGACCCTTTGCACCCTTGGGAAACTCCGGTTTTAAGTACATGAGAAGCGGAGAGGCTATCATTGATGGAAACACGCTGATGCCGATCCTTCCGATAAGAAGTGAATCAAAGAAGTGGAGTATCAGTAATGTCAGTCTTGTCAGAAGTATATCATGGTCAATTGTATGGAAGGCTGCGGATAAATTCAGAAGGATGAGAAGTACACATTGACCAGAGTCAAGCGACATGCAAATGTCATTATGGACCTTTAGAAGTGCTGTTTCAGTGCTATGAATTCTCTTATATGCAGATTGTAACGGTTCAAGTAGTCAATATTCAGAAAGATATGAATTCAGTTGTAGCGCTACCACTTTCTCCAGGATCTTGGAAGTAAATTGTAGAATTGAAACATGTTTAATTATGTTGCTGACGAATGAAGGTTTCATCAGTGAAAGTGTGACGATTGCAGTTTCCAATATGTATAGTGATGTTAATTATATCAGCAAGTTTGTGTACCAGTTTTCCAAGACATTTTTTAGTGTTGTTGGATCTAAGCGGCATGATTTCGATGGTGATTTACTAATTAATGTCGGATAGTTCATCTGTATTAGTGGTCCTGAAAACGTGAAAAGTAGAGGTGGATGTAGTTTCTATATCCGGCAGAATATTGACATTTTTCATCGAGTCTAGTTTGTCACGGATATCTGTAATCTTATTGATGATAAAATTGCTAAATTCATTGGCAAGTGTTTCGTCACACTTATGTGATGGTAGCTGTTTCTGACTTAAGTTCCCAGACCAGTTTGAACTGATGCGAAATAAGAATTGTTGATCATGAACATGGTCCTCGATCAGGTTGGTGTCGTAAAACTGTTTAGATGTATGTATGAGCTGGCTGACTTTCTTGCATTCATGTTTAAAAATGTGTCTGTGAATTTCTAGTGTAGTAGACTGCCATTTATTTTCAGCTGATCGTCTGATCTTTTTCGCCAAATTGATGTCAATAGTGTACCATTTACTATATGGGCGTAGAGTGATGACCCGCTTTTTAACAGGATCGTGCTAGTCAAGACTGTCCGAGAGAGTAATATTGAATTGTAAGATGACAGTTTGTGAATCGGATGAAGGCAGGATGATCTCAGGAGATACTTCCAGGTCGCTCTGGAAATCATCGAGTGAAATTGATTTAATACATCGATAAGTTATTCGCTTTTTGGAGAGTGGTGGCTTACGATACACACGTGTGGCATTCACAGGGTTATGATAAGACAGTTGGAGTTGGTCGACAGTAACACCTTTGATTGTATCTGCAGAGTTGGAGATGAATAGATCCAGTATATGACCTTTTATATGAGTTGGTTTTTGACTCACTGCTTGAAGTTGCAACCTTCAATGATGTATTGGCACTGGAATCACAGGGATCATCAAGATGTAGATTAAAATCCCAGACAAAATACAGGTGGCCAGTACATGCTGCATATTTCTCCAACTGAGTGCTGAACTCTGTTAGAAACTGGGTAGTAGTGAGTGTGTTGTTTCTAGAATGTGGTGGACGATATAGAGCCACAAGTTGGCTGAGAGGTTTCCATGTTACAAGTTTTTGTGATGACTTATAAATGATGGCGACACCACCGCCAGCCGATCCTGCTCGTGGTGTTTGCTTGAAAGAGTACCCAACTGGTGTTGGTGTACATTCTGTAATAATATGCTCATCTACGGTGTCTTTGAGCCACGTTTCTGTGAGTGCAATTACGTCAATGTTCTTTTCAGTAATATAATCTTGTACATCTGATGCCTTGTTACAAATGGAGCGAATATTCCTGGTTGAGAGAAGAAGTTGGAGTTGACGCTGAATGGTGTCCTGGGTACCAGAATGTTTAAGCCACTATTGTTTATACGGAGCATCGGAATGTCGTATAATTCCTCGTCGTCTGTTGCATTATATCATCGTTGAGAAAACAATCATCAAGCTAAGACAGCGGATTTCTTTTCGAATATTATTAATATTGATTACAGTTTTTTTGTAAATTATTCGATAGCTGCAAGTTCCCTGAAAATCACGACTATGCATCATTAATTTCCAGTCTGTGAAGAACAAAATTGACTTTGTAGTCAATTATATCAACAGCGAAGAAATCGATATTTGTATTTTTCCTGAAACCTGACGATGTTGAACTGTCAGGAGACCTCAATAATGATGGTAAGAATTTAGTTACACACAATATGACTGATCGCAGTGTTGGGGGTATTGCTATATTGCAAAAACCGTAACAGTTATTAAATGTCATTGTAATTCATATGGGTTCCACGCAATCCTACGAATTCGTTGCAATGTTTATGCCAAATGGGGCACTTCCTGTCAGATTGTTGGTGATTTATTGCATTCCATATTCTGATGTATATAAGGTTGGTGTTTAATACGTTTTTAAATTGTTAATTGTTTAAAGGCCGTTTAAAATAACAATTATGCAAATGACTTATAAAACAAAATTTAAATCGACAATAGGCAATTTCGAGCTATGTGACTAGGGAACATGTTTTTCACAGGGTAGTCTTTGCTTAAGAACTAGATAACGCTGGCTACATAATACATCGATTAAACAAATTGATAATGAGTATTTACTCAATTTTGTTAATTACAAAATCCAAGATGGCCGCGGAACCACGTGATCAATGACAAATCTTTCGGAAAAGATGATGTGCACCAAAACATTAAAACAGTGGTTATGAACAAGGTGATGCATGAATGATTAACGAAAATTAAATATGGCGGCCAAAGTCACATGACTATGACCGCCATATTTAATTCTCGCTATTTGTGTGTGTGCGAATATTTGTAACCATATTTCCTAGATGCTACAGCAAAAAATTTGGAAGTCCGAGACTTCCAGAAGGTTGAATTGAGCAATTCTGTGTTTTACAACATCCAAGATGGCGGCCGAACCACGTGACTAATCAAACATCTGTTTCAGTCGAAGCAAATATAAAGCATATCTAAATTTTCAGGCCAAATTGTACGAAGACGAACATGTAAAAGAGCATTAACAATATGCTTTTAAGCCTGACAGGCCTTGAAGGCCTAATAATCAGTACAAAAGTAATAGTCTTGTTGGCATATACATTGTGATTACGATGGTACCAATCCAGTCTAATTGAGCAAGATATATGATAAACCATTACATTATATCCGACGACATTCAGTTTTCCAAATAATTTGTCAAATCACATTGAACATCTTATTTAAGTATATAAAATATATTTCGAAGCAGCTGCTGGTCCATGATAATAATTTATTAACCCAATTATCTTGACAACAAAGTGTGCTTCGAGCAAATAAATCATGCACCGTCGTTTTACGTGTCGGTGTTCACTGTATTGTATGTAGTATATTTTTTAGAATAATATATATTTTTCAAATCAAGGAGACACGTGCCATATCCAAATGTGTTGATAATTGTGTCGGGTGCAAACTTGTCAATAAAGCAAACCCTGTCAGTAATCATAGAACTATAGCGCCTTTTAGTGGGTAGTATATAGTTCTTCGAAAAATTTTGATCATTTCGTAATATCCTCGACTACATGTTACCTATCACGGTTTACTGCCGAATTGTTGCAACCGTCATATTATATATATATTATATTTTTGATATTGTATTACTCTGCTGGTTGGATGCACTACCCCATAATATGTACCCATTGAACCATAGCGCTTCTGCCAGACCTCATTAATCGCACTACCGGATGCTATATATTGTGACATGATCCGGGATATGGTATACCCATAAGGCAAATGATTCTAATCCATGTACATTATGTCTATAATTCTATAACAACACACATAATCTAAGATCAAGTACGGTTTGTAAAAAAAAAAAAAACGAGACTGCAAAATTAAAATTGAAAGGTCATGCTTTTTGTCATGTTTGTCATCATGGAACAACAGTTACTGTAGATATAAGACTCGCGTTTAGCATCTGTGTTTGTTACCGCTCAAGATAAAATGACATGTTCTGATTTGACTCAAGAAAAGAAAAAAAAAATACATTCAATATTAAATATGCAGCAATATAGTATTGTTCCTTTGTTCTTCCGTTTTTTTTTTCAATCGTAAATATAATTCGGTAAATGCAGAAACAAAATTATTATTATTATTGATATCAGCGTATGCTAGACTGTCGAAGTACTAACCTAGCGTAAACATGATCCATATTTTACTACTTCTACGCACACCTAAGTGTGCTTGCTACGCATCAATAGATCTGAAATATTACACCATGGAATGGAATGACGCCAGTTTATAAACCCTTATTGAAAAAAAAAATTATATGAGTTGATTTGCCCCGACGGGTGCCCTCATTATTTTGACGAGCGTGATTGTATTTATTCGATTTGATTTTTGGATGATATTTGGACAACAATTTTCACGAAAGTTGAAAAGTTGAATTTAAACATGTTAACAGTCGTCTCTCAGTGCATCGTGTGCATCGCCTTGGGCACGTATCAAACATACGCGGCGCAAAGAGTCTTCGAGACTTGAACGTGTTTTCACGAAAATGTCCTACATACGCTGACTAAGACGACTCGAATGAAATGTTCCATGATCACATCATTCGATCGAATGTTATCTCGTCATTTATGGACGTATTGTACGTCCAATAAACACATCCATGACATTAAACCAAATATAGTATAGATTTTTAGTTTTTCCAGTTTCCAATTTTGCTCAAAACATGATGAATTCAATATATATATACATCCTTCTAATCTGAATAGAACTTAACAAATTGAGGCATTCACTCTTTGAACCTCAATCGCATCCATTGGTGAACGTAAGCATTTGAACAATCGTTTGGGTGGACGGTACTTCTAAATCAGGTGACAACCACCATTTACAAACTCATCAATAGTATCTGTTATTCCAATTGTTTGTAAATAACAA